GGATTGGGCCTTGGACACCGTGAGAGGTCTGACAGCGACTTCGGAGAAGCCCGCAACCAAGCACCTTGGGCACGATGGTGCAGTGATTGCAGCGGGGAGAGACAACAACGGTGCGAGTTGGCAGCTATTCATTATGGTGATTCACCATAGCACTGCCTTGTGTCTTAAGGAGTCGTCGTGGGCGGCTCTAAGACAGATGGCAAGGCTGTTGGAGATTCGATTGACGCAACTTGTGGGTGCGCAGCTGCGCGCCCAGACTTTGCATACCGATAATGTGTTCCTTGTGGCGAAAATAACGATGGGCGAGGCAGATGCCACGGAGGAACTCCGCGAAGCTGGCGAGAGGGCCATCTATTCTCATACCGCAGATAAAAGGCCGGATGAGGATGAGACGGTTTTCTTGTATGAGCTAATTAGCTTATACCCAGACTTTGTGCTCGAGTCGATAAGTAATGCCTGTCACATCACATCACACAGACAATTTAATGAAATTGCTATTGCTATTTAAATTTGATTAAATTTGATTGAATTTGATGTCATTGCATTTATTTCACATTTCCCTCGAATGATATCCCGATTGATGACACATGGAGATCTTATACGTAACATATGTGCGTAACATATGTGACGTTTGGAGTCAGCTATGTATGATTGTCGACCCCGCTCCGCCACCCACGACGCGCCCCTCGCTTCGCGGGGGGCGCGTCGTGGGTGTCTACGCGGTCAGGCCCCCAACATGATCGCGGGCCCCACTTCGTCGCGGTTGCGTCGTGGGTGCCTACGTGGGCGAGTAGGCGTTGACACTTTCTTAACACTTGACCCGCCACGGGGTGTTTTTGTTGACATTGAATTAAAAAATAGAAAAGAAATACCAAACGAGCCATTTTTTGCACGCTTGGTATCGCCCGGGGGGTAGGCACTCCCGCACTGCTCCGCTGTTAAATGGGCGGCCTGCCTGATCGCCCTCGAGCGGTGCAAGCAGCTGTTAGGTTTTTTATTTTTTGTGTCGGGTGCCTCGACCGAGTGACGTAATTGGGTCTTTTATTTTTCTTGCATGATGCAAGGTAAGCGCATTGACCTACTTCTGGACACGCCTGCCGCTTCCGGGGTTAATGACTCATCATGACCTTGACCTACCGGCCAGATCTCCCTTCTCTCATACTACTGACCTAACCTCAACTCTTAGCTGTGTTAGGTTTGTTCATGTTCCAACTTTTAATTTGTGTTGAATCAGTCTTTTATTTGTATGTAATTTATTGGTAAGGGGTGAAATGTAACAATGATGTTTTATTTTGTTGCAGACGCTTAGATATGTTTTCACCCCCCAACATTTTATGTGATAGTAGGAATCTAACAAAAGATACTGTTTCCTCATTTCAGGTACATTTATTGTTCTCATGTATTATTGACAGCTTTATTGTTTAATAAGAAAAATTAACCCCAGGTTATGATGTTGACAGGGGAACCTGTTAGTAAGTCCATCATGTCTACCACAGCTGGTACTTTGGAGAAGGACAAATCTCCGGGGTCGGTTTTGACTGAAGATGAAAAAGAGGTATTTTTTCTGTGCTACACAATTTTATATGGAATGAAAATCAAACCAAGTTATTGGAGCAACATTAAGTATTCAAATTACAATAATATTTTAGTTTCCTGGCGCTTCAAACGTGCACGTGCCCTAGGGAAAATGTTCTTCCCTGACTCTTGCCTGAATTCACGCTGAACTCGCTCGGACTGACTATGGAGAGAGCATAGGGACATCTCACCCTGAATCTTACATCAAAAATCTGAACTATGGCACGCATTCAGGAGCTGGACTGGGCGGGTCGGCGACGGTCGGCGAGCAGGTAGCGGCGGCGAAAACAAAGCATCATGTCTCCGTCAGCCTAGTGTCAGCCCAGCCCGCCGCCGTGCCGTGCCCGGCCCCCTCCCCCGCCCCGTCCCCGCGCCCGCGCTGCCTCAGAGCCCGGCTGGACTCGAACCCTGAATCGCTGGAGAAGATGCTTCGCTGCCGGACTGATGTTGGTGGTGACGACGCCTTTACCCGCTGAGCTAACCTGGAACACGCGAGACGGTGGCTCCGGCCGGGCTCTTCAACGGAGGCTATCGGAGGCCGGGCGGGAAGCGCTCTGCGCACATCTTTCGGCTGCTCGCACGTCCCTCCTATTGGGCGCAGTGAAACGCGGTTTTCACTACATTTATTGGAATTGGTATTTATTCGCTGTATGTATTATTTGAAAAAATCTAAGGCCACGCAGAAGACTACGCGAAATATTTGTAGGTCAACTGGAAAATGTTCTATGATAAACTTCGTAAAAATTCAAACGGAAAGATCTAACATAAGAAATAACGACTTAAATTATATGAACAAGCAAATCGTAAAATTAAAAATTGCGTTTGTAAAATTTACGATTCTTTTTGCAAATTTACAAGTCTATTTGTAAACTAACAAGAAGCAATTTGAAATATGCGGCGTTAGGCTGATTATAAATTTCGAGAAAAATTGAGAAAATATCGTAAATTCCGCAGTCTTGCTTTCTCCAAATGTTGAAAAGCGTTCAAGTAACTTAGCATTTACAATAAGAAACTTCGGATATGACTTAAAGTAGTTTTGAAAATAAACTTGCTGCTGAAGTTTGATAAAACATCCTGAATCTCGTCTGCGTCACCCTGAATGCACCATGAGTGGCCGCTGCGAAGCCGGCGCGGCCGAGTCGGGCCGCGTCGAGACTCCGGGTAAGACAGTATTCAGGGAGGACCCCTGAGCCTCGCCTGAGTCGCTGAGCGGGAAGGCGGGGCGCAGGCCTGCCCGACCCTGAACCTTTTCGGTTCAGGGAGCCTCAGGGTGGCCCAGGGCATGATCAGGGGCAAAAATAGTGGTTCAGGCAACAGTCAGCTATGTCTCAGTCAAAATTCAGCAAAATTATTTCACCTCGGGCGCGTCGCGCGGCCAAAATGCGACTGAGTCTTTCTCAGCAGCCTCCCGCCGACTGAGCCGTTTAGAGTAGCCGTCGCTCGGCCAAGCCTTTTTCTGCAGCGGTTGCGCGGCTAGGCCTTTCTCGACGAAAGGTATCGATCTGGGCTGAAAGAGAAAGAAGAACTACAGTTAATTTTGCCACAAAAGTTGGTGAAACAAACAGTGAAAGTATATCATGAGCAAGTAGGGTTAGGAAACCACTTTGGTGTAACCAAAACATTAGCTTATCTGAAAGGATTCTTTTGGTGGGCGGGGTCATCCAACAGCGGCATGCACTGGAGAAAAGAGGAAAAGAAATAAATGAGACCTAAAAACTAATAAGTAATACAGTATTCAATGTAACCTTGGTAAATAAAGTGTTCACACTCCGCTTCGCAGCGCCGGCAACTCCGTTCGGCAGGGGCCGGGCTTGCTTGGCCTGCCGGCGGCGACGCTCGGGCCTGCGACCCGACCGTTTTTGCTAAATTTGCTGAAAAACATAATCAAACAATATAGCGGGCCTTCGGCCAGCTTAAACCCGTCGTCATTAAAATTTGCCCCTTAGACGCATGAGAACGGAATGTATCGGTGACGCACCGTGACTACAACCCACCTTTCTGCTTAGAAAAACTTCTTTTTTAAGGGGGGGGGGGCTTCCTGTACAACTAAATGTTCACTACAGCAATTTTTAGCTTCTTTTCGTCAAAGAAGACCCTGTAGCGCCCAAACGGTGAGAGATAGAGCCAAACGGACAAAATTTTAGTCCAAAGGACTCTACTTTCACGAGTTACCCCTTAGAAGATCATAAATGTTTTTTGTTTTTAGCCCGCCCTTCTGCTTTGAAAAAGCTATCCAGCGGGCTTATGCAAACGACCTCGTGTGTGTCTGTGTGTCTGTCTGTGTGTCTGTCTGTCTGTCTGTCTGTTCCACAAGAAGGAGATGTGCTAGAGACTTCAAATTTTCAGGGGATCTTGAGGTTTGCTCCCACAAAACAAAACGCCTACGGCAAATCCTGTCAGCCACCCCTAAGGGGCTGAAAGGGGGTATCGAAGAAAACAGGAAAGGCGAAAAAAGTTGAAAAAAATATTTTTTTTTTATGAGCTCCTAAGGGGTAACTCGTCAAAGTAGAGCCCTTTGGGCGAAAATTTCGTCCGTTTTGCTCTATCTCTCACCGTTTGGGCGCTAGAGTGAGTTTCTCTCACAAAAGTGGCCCAAAAATAAATTTAGTAATTTTCAAAAATATTGGATGGTCTCCTAAGGGGTAACTCGTGAAAGTAGAGCCCTCTGGGCGAAAATTTCGTCCGTTTTGCTCTATCCCTAACCGTTTAGGCGCTGGAGGGCCTTTTTAGACGAAGATAAGCTAAAAATTGCCATAGTAAACAATAAGATGTAGAAAAAGGCCTAAAAACCGCAAAATAGAAAGGAAACT